TTATCAGTGCCTAATTCCATCAACTCAAGGTGTATCAGTCTACAGCAGTTGTCATTTAGCTCCACACCAGACCTGTGCTTTCAGCTGCTTTTCTGTTAATGGTTCTTGGTCTACTGTAAGCTACGAAGCCCCCTTCCAAGCTCTGTGCTACACATCTCTGGTGTTCCATTCAACTAAGTAAAGACTGGTTTTCATTGAGGCTACCGGTACAAGTTATTCTTTGAAAGTCATTTAATATTAGTGGTAAAGTGCTTACAATTTGACTCTTGCCTCTTTGGCAATTTTACAAATTAATGAGAAAGAAAATCAAGTCTAGGGGTAGGGCAATAGCTCTCACAGTAAAATGAGGTCTTCAGTTCCATCCCCAGCATTGACTTAAAAGGTCAGACAAGCAGTGCAGACCTGTAACCCTCAGCACTGGGAGGCAGAAACAGACAGTTCTCTGGTGCTTACTGGGCAGTCAATGCAACCTAATCAGATAACTCTAGACACTGGGGAGAAATTGCATTTGTGAATACAATGTGAATGGCTCCTGAGAAATGACACCCCTGACCTCCATATACATGTCTATATATGTGCCTGTGCACCCACACACACCATACACATCCCCATACATAACCACACAAGAGATAATCATGTTTTAATAATCATGAACCAACAAATGTTCACAGACATTATTTGATAGGCTTGAGATATTATTGACTTCAGCTTTCTCAAAGAACGCTATTAAAGTAAGCCCATTTGCTGGACAGTGTCTAGAATCAAAGAAATTGTTAAAATAGTTTACTTGTCTTCCAAAAAAGCGTTCACACTGAAAACTAAAGCTAAAGCTTTCAGAGTGTCTTGAGTGAGTTATTTGGTTCTAATGTATATTTTAATTGCTTAGCATTTTGTTTGAGTAGTTATGAGTTATTAGTTGAATGCTATGGTTTTTTAAACAAAGGAACCTTTCAATATTATTTAAAATTCAATTAAGCATGAAAATATGTCTATTTCCATTCCTTTCCATTCTCAAATCATGATACTGCATGTTGATGTGTGTTTTTATTCATTTATATCATTAACAATTTACTCGTTTCTTTAAATTATCTCTTTGTCCAAAAGGCATAGATGAAAAGTCAAATATTTCACCTTTTTATTTAAAATGTGGAATTACATAAACCTCGGCTTAAGAAAATCTGTTTTTTAAACCATGTCCCAATATATTAGCTTCCTATTTTCATTAATGTGAGAACAAAAGACGCTCTTGTCAGGGGCTTCCCCTGTGCCTTTAGGAGACTATGACTTCAGATGAGTCTTCAAGTTGGCTTTGTGAGTCAAATGGGTTCATTAAGAAAGACTTCTGCAACTACTCCCTGGAATTTGCCATCACATAATCACCCTGGCTGCGGACTGCTTCATATGTGTTTTTCTGGTAATAAGAACTCTGAATAATATAAACAAATAAACAAAGACCAAAAAGAATCATGAGAAAGGGGACAAACTTTGTAAAATACAATGGGACTCCTGTGCCTGTCAACTGTCAACCTATAAATCTATCAATCTGTCAGTCTGTCAGCTTATCAACCTGTCAGCCTGTCAGCCTGTCAACCTGTAAACTCATGAGCCAGCAACAAGGACACAAGACTCATTCCCTATTACTGGAGACTTGGGAAAAGGAGTTTCAGCTTAAGGAATGTTTCCCTTTGACATGAAACTGTAATATTTCCTTATTTGGGCGCTAAAGCAATAAGGCAATCATAAAGAAAAGGCACATAACTACTGCTCTCTAACTAGAGTTGGTTTATTGGTGGTGGTGGTGTTGCTGGTGGTAGTGGTACTGGTGGTGGTGGTGATGGTGTGTGTGTGTGTGTGTGTGTGTGTGTGTGTGTATTACTGAGCCATCTTATAATTTCTGACTAAAATTTAGCTGAGAAAAATTTCTTATGAGCTGAAATGCAGAGTTAGGACTGCATTATTTCTCATCAAGTCATTTCACACATGTTAAGCAATAGTCAGGCACAGGAAAACAACTATATTTGTTTACTATTTGAAAATGATTTTTAAACTTGCAAACTTTGGGCCCCTGAAATGGTTCAGCATGTAAAGGTGTCTACCACCAAGCATGACCACCTGAATTCAACACCCGGAACCTACTGATAGAGTGAGAGACTGGATACCTGCAAGTTGTCCTCTGTACAAACACACACACACACACACACACACACACACACACACACACCACATGCGTGTGCACACACATACCACATGCATGTGCACATACACACACACACCACATGCATGTGAACACACATACACATACATTGTATTGTGTGCACACATACACTAAATAAGTAGAATGTAAAAATAAACATGCAAATTTTCACTGGAAAATTGAGAAAACATAGATTCTGCTGCGTGAATGGGGAACACATTGATTCCATCTTTTTAATTTTTAAAAAAAAATAGAGGATTTCCTGTAAAAGCAGAAATTGGCAAATTGCTCTAAGAAAACAGCAAAAGCTGAGGAAAAATTTTGAGGATCCTTAAATTTCTACAGTGGAACAACTTTTTCTGCCAGTGAGAAGAGAAAAAGGGAGAAAACACCTGCCCTGGGATGGGGAGAGAAGCCAGATAGGGTGGCAAGCTGGTGAGGGAAGACAGGCCCCTCGGACTGCAGAGCAGGGAGCTGACAGGAAGGAACACAGGTCTTAAGGCCAGCACCTGTCCCATCAAAGGAAAGGCCAAAGGCGATCAGACACTGCACGTCAGACATCAGAGCATGGATGTCAGCAAGTGTCAAAAGTCATAGCCCTGCCTCATATGAGCCTCAGGGACCACAAGCTACCTCCACTTCAGACCACAAACCACCTCCACTTCAGAAACCCAGCATGCCCATCAAAGCAATGAGCAGGTGTCAATGCAGGCAGGGATTAGTTTTGAACGAGGCCCATTAGTGAGCATACATTGAAGCTTTACATTATAACTGGGCAAACGCATGCATAGCCTGCTCTCCTGACGATTTACACAGCGCAGCATGGGTCCATGGGAGACTAATGGCAGTGAGTAAAGAGACACTTGCAAATCAGCGTCAGAGTGAGTGTGTTTAGAATCTGTAAGAGAACTTCGATCCAGCAGTTCCAGCGCACTACTTTGTGCCACATATAAGCTTATGCATACACATATAAGTACACAGAAAGATGCTGCTAATAGCAAAATATGTATTATGATCTCAAGAGCCATCATTTGGGACCTGCCCCACTATATCGTGGGAACCTATAAACCAAGAGAACACAAGTTAACAGACAGATACACTAAAGATGTATGAAAAATGAAGACCCGCATTATATACATTACCTGCACATAGTAAAAAACAGGTACACACATATATGTTCACATATATGGATAGATATATATCATGCATACATGCAGTGCATATGTGGCTATGTGTATGTGTATAATTTTCTCAAAAATATTCATAAGTGAGGTATCTGAAAAGTATGAGGGAAATACTTTTAATTGAATATCCTTTAAAATTATTTCACCACATCTATGCATAGAGACAGACACAGAAAACTTTATGGATAACATAAAAACTAGGAAGTCTCATAATGGTTGTTTTACTAATACCGTGTGTCAAAAAAAAGATCTATAAGAACTATAATGTCTCACATATATGTACACACATGTATATATGCATTTACGTTTGTGTATATATGAGCAAAGCCATCATAATAGATTCTAAGATGATATTGTGCAGATAAAATGCTGACCCAAACAAAGCCCTCTTGAGTTAAAATCAGCTTTTCCGCCCTTTTACTGAACTCTCCACAAGCCTTCTACACAGGGCGACGGTTGTCTGTTGCTTGGTTGGGATCAGTAGATTTTATTGCCAATGTTGTTGGAATTCTGGGTCTGTTTCCCACAAAGGTCAAGATAGAACTGATTTTAGCCATTTTCTGGGATCAAACAATCACAAAATTACAACCACAGACTAAGTGCTTAGCACTGATGCTCATCTGGTCCCTTATCCAGACAAGGACTCAAAACTGTTCCATACACCCTGCTTCTGCTTCTTTACTGAAGCCATACAAACACAAGCTTCATTTTGTATACACAAAACACCCCCCCACACACACACAGATTCCAGCGAACATCTTCATTTTGTCATCCAGGGCCACATAAGTGACAGACCACTCAGGGAAAAAAAAGCCCGCTGAGAATGACAAGAAACCTCAGCATACTCCCTCCCTGGGATCGCTAAGCTGTTTCCTCCAAGCGAGAGAAGATTGGTCATGTATTTCCATCCTCACACTTCTATAGAGGCTTGAACTTAAATCTCAGACTGTCTCCTTCACCTCCCAAAACTGCCAAGCCTTAGACAGTCAACCTGTCTGATTTAAATTGCTACAACACTAGGGCCACGGCGATATTACTCCAGCAGGGACATGCAGAGCTCACAGAGCCCAGATGCTAGTTCTCAGAAACCTTTGCCCCACAGACTTCCAGGATAGACTTCTGGGAGGGGTGCACAGCCCTGGTTTTCATGAACATGACTTAGGAGAAGGCCATCTCCTGACCACGCGTCTTGTCTCGCTCGGTCTCTGGAGTCCTCTTTTCCTTGCTGTCTCCCAAACAGCTGATACCCACACAGAAAGTACCTCTCTCTGCCTGCACACTCCGGTTGGTATGCAGCAAAAGCAGTGGGCTTCTCCCTTGCTCTGAGTTCCAGCTCCTCCCCTTCTCCCACAAGAAGCCCTTCTCGCCTCCCCAAATCTGCCTCAACAGTGGCCCAGGATTCTCTCCAGCCAGGACCTCTCCTCTGGGGCAGGAATAAGGCGATTTCTCTGAACAAGTGGTGATGACCAAGGAACCTTGGCAATTCCAGGCTAACCCCCCAGGAGGTCTCAGCCAGGGTCCTCTACCGGCCCAAACCGGCCCTGTCAATTGCTATGAATCATAAAGTCGCAAGAAGGGCAAGGGGAGGCACATCGAAGCAGCTGAGCGCTTGGTTCTCTTACCCTTTCAGTGCATCGTGTCCTCCGCCACCTCTTCTCTTGGCTCGGTTGGCTCTGGTCTCTTTCAGGTTCCCAGCCTCCAAATTAGCGTCCGCCCCATGGCTCGTGTAGGACGCGAGGAGCAGGGCGAACGCCAGCGCGACCTCCAGCAGCCCGCCTCGCCGCATGGTGCCGCCGGCCGCCACTCGCTCCGTCGCCGAAGCCGCTGCGCCTTCCAGCACCCGGAGGCTAATGGGGTCCCGCTGGTCCTGCTGTCCCGCCGCAGGGATGTCCTCGCCTGATTCCTACCGCTTTCTCTTCCCGACGCTGCTCTCACTTCGGGCAGCCCTCGCCCTGCAACACAGACAAGTCCCCAAGGAGGGCAGGGGGAAACACTCAGGGCTCTGGGATGCTGGAGTTCGCAGTCCCCGCCGAGCCCAGCCCGCGCACCGCCTGCGCGTGGCGCAGTTACTCGGATGAGCGAGGACCGTTCGATCCCAGCTGGCTGCAGAGCCAGAGCCAGGCGACTGGGATCCTCGGACCCTGCGGCCTCTGGGCGCCAAGTACCGTGTCCCCAGGGAACCCAAGAGTCCCGCGAGCCGGCTGCCTACACCATCTTAATGGCACTGATTGCGCGCCTGGGTGAGGGCTGACGCTCCCCCCCCCCCCAAACAGGGTCCTCTCCGCCCAGACACCCGGCCACGGCCAGCCCCGCCAGTCCCCTGCATCCAACGTGGAGCAGTCGGGCACCCAGCCGCGGGTCCTGCAGCTGTCAGGCAGAAAGAGCCAGCAGCAGATGCTTAGGACAGCCCCTCACCCTGCCCGGCCTCATGCCCTAGATGCCTCGCAAACGGCCCTCCAGCCCCCGGCTCCCTCCTGACCCCGGTGGAACCCCGCGACACCCACTGGACCAGCGGCTCGGACTCCCAGGCGGCGTTGGCTGCTCTGCTCCGCAGCTGTCCCAGCCGTGGCCGCCTGTGGCACCCACAGTCTCTGCCTCAACTCCGCGGCCCCCTCCTTTCCCACCTCTTCAAGTATCGTCCGCGCAGCGGTTTCTCGCGAGAGAAATACTTTTTTCAAAAAAGAAAAAAAAAAGAAAGAAAAAGAAAATGACACCCCCACCTCCCCCATCACCACCCCACCCCCGGCCCCATCTATCCTCCCTTTCCACTCCCCTCTGCCAGCCACCGCCCGGGTCCGGGGCCTCCCTTACTCGCAGGATCAGCGCAGTGGGAGGAGGCGGAGGTGATCCAGTCCTGCCAGGCCGGGATATTCCGTCCCAGGGTGGGGAAGCGAGGGAATGGGAAGAAGTGGAGTAGCTAGCGGTTTGGACCGTTCTGCGGCTGGGAGGTTTAGACCCGAGATTCCAGTGACCAGAAGCGCAGAGAGCTGTGCCACCTGCACCGAAAATGCATTACGTGCTAGACACCTTGGCCACCGAGGCCCAGGAGGCCCTGTGGCAGGGATCCTCGCTCCAGGGCCCACGATCCTGTGCCTCTGTTGTCCCGCAACGAGGAGAAACTGTAGGCCCAAAGACTCAGGCAGGGCATATTGAAAGACCACCATCACAGAACCAGTCAACAGGTTGGTGGAGGAAGGGGCTTGTCAATGTCAAGAGCCCACTGGAGGAGGCTCAGAGCAAGCCTCTCTCCTAGGCAAAAGACCGAATCTGGAACTGTGATTTGGGTTTCTTGGGGTTCCTAGAAGAACCCTATTTTCACATGTACATGCACTATACAGGAGGGAGGGAGGGAGAGAGAGACAGAGAGAGAGAGACAGAGAGAGAGAGACAGAGAGAGGCAGAGAGAGACAGAGAGAGGGAGAGAGGGAAGGAGGGAGGGAGGGAGAGAGGGAGGGAGGGAGAGAGAGACAGAGAGAGAGAGACAGAGAGAGAGAGACAGAGAGAGGCAGAGTGAGACAGAGAGAGGGAGAGAGGGAAGGAGGGAGAGAGGGAGGGAGGGAGGGAGGGAGGGAGGGAGGGAGGGAGGGAGGAGGGAGGGAGGGAGGGAAAGACAGAGAGACAGAGACAGAAGCATTAGTACCCAAATGTTGCTTGCACTAGTTTAGTTGGACTGGGAATTCAATTGGACTTGGCCACAGCCACCAGGGACTCCTAATCACCAACTGTCATGCACAGGACAAACAGGCCCCCTAAGAATGCATGCATCTTTATTGAAGGGGAGTTTTCTTGTTTTCAACTTTGTGTTCAGATATGAGATTATAGCAATCAAGGCAACATGATCTTCATTTCTGGTCCCAGATGGACCACACACCTCATGATGATGGCCTCATTGCACTGCCTGGAAACATGAATGGGAAGGTGAAAACACTGATTTAAATTCACAATTCTTTAAACGTATTTTCTGGCTTGGTTAAATTCTTACCTTCAAAAGTCCTCTTAGCAGATCCATGAACTGGAGATTTGATCAGACACCCTTAGTTGAGTAAAGAATCATTCATTCAAGGACTAGGAGGTGGCTCAGCAGATCAAGCTCCAAGCCTGACGATTTAAGTTCCATCACAAGATTTACATGATGGGCGGAAAGAAAAGATTCCTGAACGCTGCCCTCTGATTGACGTACTCAGCACATTCATGCACATGTACTTGCACACACACACACACACACACACACACACACACACACACACACACACAAAATGTAATAAAGAACCATTCACTCAAGAAGTAGATACTGAACACCATCCACGCCACCTGGTCATTGGATTAATCAGAATTACTTGCAAGTAAGTCAGGAGTTTCAGGCTCCTCAAACAGCAGATGGGCTGCAGAGAAGGCCAGCTTGAAACAAATGTTACAAGTCAACACATACAAAGCATGTGCTGCTTAGAGGGCATATGTGAGGGTGACTAGACCTAAGCCAGGGCTGATAGGGAAGGTTTCCCTGAGAAAGTCTCAGCAAACCCTTTTAAGGCACGATGACTCCTTATAGAGAGAGCAAGGGTTCTGAACTATAGACACAGTAGGACCTAGAAAATGCATGTATGTATGTATGTATGTATGTATGTATGTATGTATGTATGTATGTATGTATTACAGATGCAATCAGGCATGAGGACCCAGAGGTTCTGCTTTTAGTCTGTGATGGACCTTGACATGGATTTCAAAGTTCCTTAGATACAAAGAGGTGGTAGAGATTTTTATGGGTGGGAAGGGCTCCCAGAAGAGGAATCATAGGCCAGCAGAACCAAGACTTCCGGAGGCCAAGGAGGACTGTGTCCTGATCCCTATGTACGGGGGCTGATCTGCACCCTTGTGCATTCTGGAAACTGCATGTTTTCTATGGATTCAGGTGACATGCAAGAGGCAATGTGATCCTCTCTTGAAGGCTACCATTCGGCAACATAACGGATGGGAAGAACTGGGTGCCCAGACAGCACAGAGCAAACCCCAACAAGGGTTCCGTGTGTCTCAGGACCCCAAGTTCTCCCCCAGTAAGCGAAGGACTGTCAAGGGCTGCAGCAATCGGTGTGCCTGCCTTTCGCTTTCAATTCCTCCTCCCCAGGACTTCCACGTGGGACAACATTTTCTACAAGACGGATCGGATCCATAGATATTTGCCACATGAGCCGATGGATTTCCTTTCTAGATAGAGATATGGCAGTAGCTTTAAACCCTCACCCCACTCTTCCTTGCAATTGCCTGAACTACAGAAAAATAACAACACATTTCCAGCCACTGACAGAGCCTCAATCGTACCTGGTGGTGCCTCAGTTGTCCCACGACGTCCTTGGGAGTGAATGAAATGAATCTTCAAGTAAAACGAAGCTGACTGATAGCCAATGTATGTATTTGTACGGCCTACATTTTATTACTGAGTTCATTTTTCATTTAACCAATCTGACCAAAGGCAAGCACCACCTGCTAAACACCATATCAAGCATGAGACTGTTTATATTCCCATCATTTTTCAGAACTTTCCTGTATTAAAGAAATATTTTAACTACTTAGTTTTTAAGTATCTTCCTATAATCACACGATTCTTACAACCGTTTTTACTTTTCTCCATTTCCCACGAGTCTTTGTCCCCGTGATACGTCTTATGTAGTCATAACCACAAGGTCTATGTAGTTTTGTCTTCTGCGGAACAGAGAGGAGAATTTGTTCACACTTCAGGCTTAACCTTTGCATGTTGAAGATGGTGGTCCCTGGGTGGGGTTCGCCTAGCTATACTTCTGGCAGAGAGCATGTACAACTGTTGAATTATGTTATTGAAATAACTTTCATTACCTCAATCCCCCAAAGCAAACAGATCCTCTCCACCCAAAACAAAAGCCCCATTTCCCAGTCTTCATTTCACTTGTGTTTTCCATGAGTTCTGAGTCCCACCCTGGTGTTGCCTGTCATTTTTTTTCCTACCAGACATAACAGATACCAGCCCAACAGCAGAGGAGAATAAAGAAGAGGCCTGGCCAGCAAGAAGGGATATAACTTTGGATCCATCACAAATTAAAAACACATCCTCCCTGAGTGCCATTCAACACATGTTTACTAAACACCAACTCTGTGTACCACGCCATGGTCGATCCTGCAGATGCCACCAAAAATCCTTCCCAAGGTGCTTCACCTTCTCATGGAAGAGGGGAAGGGATTCCATGTCTGCAACATTCCAAAAATGGCAAACAGTGGGCTGAGAGGCAAAGAAAGTAGATAACTCCAAACATTTTATAGGCAAAAACTCAAATTTTATCTGTGGACTTTGACTGGCATTTGAGCTTCATTTACTTTCCGTGGGCAGTGAAGCAGCCTGGTGGTCTATTTCAGACTTGAAATAAGCTTTACAGCTCACAAGTATGTGTAGACAGGCGTTTGGAGTGAGGGTTTCAAGTAAGTAGTTTGCCAGCACCTGGACTGGAAGACAAGGGCAAGCACAGAAAGTGGCTGGGTGACCCTCCCAAAGCTATGTGTCACCAGAACAGGGGCCCACGGGGCCAGAGGTGGGTGGGGTAGGATGACTGGTCTGCTCAAGAAGATTTAATGGACGAGATGGGATTTGAGTGGTGCCTTGAAAGGAGGGTAGGGCTTGGCTGCACAGAACTGTCTTGGGAGAACATTCCAGACACACAAGAGGAGAAAGAGGCAAAGACAGAAAGAGAGGAAAGAATTGGGGCCAGAGAAGACAAATGAGGTATTTTCCCATCCTTCCTTGGGACACACCCTGGGCTGTGTGTTTGTGAAGGGCAGCAGGCTACTGTGGACCCGTGGGTATTGTTTCTTAAATGACTGTGATTAATCACACCACGTTAGTATTTATTATACCCATCACTGAGACCTGGAAGAATTGAGGCCCAAATGACCTCTGTGTTCATACTGACAGAGGAAAACTACACTCCGTTTCCCCTGGGTTTCAATTAGTCACCTACATTAAGAAATTTTAATAGAGAATGAACTTTTTCTTGGGATCCTAACAAAAGTCTCTTTATACCAGAAAGTGCATACCCTAACCTACTGCCATGGGCAACCTGAAAGTCTAGCTAAGTTAGGAGTGAGGCAGTCTCTGCTAGCAACAGTATCTTTGTCTACATCTGTTTTTACTTTCAATCTCAATTTTCTCCTAGCAGTAATTAGTGGATACTAGTAATTAGTGGATATAAAAAATGTTTTTTCCTAGCTGACTTTATCAATTCCCATGATTTCACCCCCTGCTTATAACATGCTATTAAGTCCCAAATCTGTATCTCCACCCCAGAGTATCCCTGGAGCTTTCAATGCAGATGTCCAAGTTCCTGCTGGACTCCTCCCAAGCACAAAGTCATTGTGCAGCAGCCTCTGAAATGGTCTCCAAAAATCCCACCCAGGTACTCACACCCTGGGATAATCCACTCCCCGTGAGCCTGGGCTGGACCTTCCAAGTCTCTTCTTTTAGTGCGGCATAAATGAGTGGATGTCACTTCTCATGTTACATTACAGACTCTGGCTTACATGTTGCTCTTCTCTTCTTGCTTCTCATTGTGAACTGACCTACAAAGTCCCAGTAGCACAAAACTGAAGACGCCGCAAG